AAAAAAAAAATGTTCAGTGTTAAGTAAATATTTTTCAATTGTTGTTTTGTAATTGATTTTTTATTTGAAAAGCAGGACGAAATAGTAAAAAGCACATTTTGGCAATTTACTTAATGCAATGGTGAAAAAAACAATGGCAAAATAGGCCTACATGGGGGGGAAAATGTGAAAAACCGTGTTTGGTGTTCGGTATTCGGCCTTCGGCCCAGTGTTTCATTTTGTTCGGCTTCGGCCAAGAATTTTCATTTCGGTGCATTCCTAATATTGGTATAAATAATTATAGTTGCTAATTATAAATTGAAATCAACACAAATATTGTTTTTATATCATAAATAATGTAATAACATGCTTAAAACTATATTTGCAACAATACTGTAAAATAATTTTAAGCATATTATATACCATATATATTATTCACAAATTATAGAAATAATGTCAGCCAGCAAGGCTATGTTTGTTTTCTCTTTTTCTTAATGGCCCATATATATATATATATATATATATATATATATATATATATATATATATATAATTAACAATTATCATTGCTAAATATAAATCAATTTTAGGATTATATTATATTATATTAGGATCTTGATAATATTGTACAATTATTATTATTATTGTACAATTATTAAATATATGTTGTACAATTTCTAAAATCAGGAACACTGTGAATTTGTAAAACTGAACTCACACATAGGCAGACTGTTCCATAAAAAACTTGCTGGAGAAATAGGAGGAGTGATGTTGCTACGGAAACTAAGCCCACAAATGAGCAAGACACAGAACAGCACAGATTGTTTTCTTCCTTTTCTTTTCACTTTGGAAAGAAACCACACGTTTATCTTGATATCATGCCCTGACGTGTTACTCAAAGACAAAGCTGCCACACATAGCACTCCCTGCTCCCTCAATTAGCTTAATGAAGATAAAGTGGGTATTTACTATGGGCCGGAAAAATGTCAGTCCAACGGTAGAAGATCCACAGCATATGGAGCGATCTGTGACAGAGTACAAGCAGGACGCACGGGACAGTCTGTGAAGAGCTCATGTTAAGCAAACAATGATTTGGGACAGCACTGAGACACGCTCCATTACGTCTGATCCGCACACATCACAGCCCACTGACCAACACGACAACACAGCACCTACCATCCCCAGCTAACTAGTGCTCACTCTCACCCTCAGCTCCTGTAGCGCACCGAGACGTATGAGAACACAGATGGCCTGAACATTAGCTGCTCTCCACAGAGTTACCAGGGCATGTGCAGTCTAATATAAACACACATGCACTGGAGAATAACTCTGGAAAAACAAATGCACTTCCTCAGTGCTAAAACAGGTTATTTCTAGTGTTTGACTGATATATGTTTTGTAATAGGCGATGAAACAAATGCAAAAAAGAAAAACATGAATAAATATATATATAGAATATATTTGAATATAAAACAGTTACTTTGAATTTTTTATATATATTCACAATATTCCAGTTTTTACTGTATTGTAATCAAATAAATGGAGACTTCTTTCAAAAACATTGAAAATTATAATTTGACCAAACTTTTGACCACTGCTACATTATATAATAAAATATAATATAATATGTAATAACATAATAATATATATAGTTTATCCACTACCAGTCAAAAGGTTGTAATAATAACTATTTTAAAATATATACTGTCATTTTTGTTTTGTTTTTTTAAAGATTTTTTGAAAGTAAGTCCCTTAAGCTCCCCAAGGCTACATTTGTTTGATAAAAAAAATCAATATGGTAAATTTTATTTAAAAAAATCTTTGATTATTGTAATATATTTTTAAAAAGTAATTCATTCCTGTGACTCCGAAGCTGAATTTTCAGCAGCCATTACTCCAGTCTTTCAAAATGAAAAACAGTTTAATATTTATTTTGTGGAATCTACAATATTTTTTCAGGATTCTTTGATGAATAAAACTGCACTTTTAATTGAAATTGTAACAATGTAAATGTCTTTACTGTTTTGATCAATTTAATACATTTTTTGCAAACCTTTAGATCGCTTTTAACACACCTAACTCTCGTTAAAAAAAAACTTGTTCAGCAAAGATCTCAAACAAGTCAATGCATGTCACAATTCCTATACTACTTTTATTTTAAAAATTCCTAGACAATGGACATGTGTAGTTGCATTCATCAATAACTCTACTGTACATTGACTGATGAGAGCAGAAGTGATGTTTCTGAATGATTCTTGTTGAAGGAGGCTGTATTTACACTTGTGGTGTGGTTTAAACTGACAGCCCATTAGCACTACAAAAGATCAGCAGCCCCTTCCACATCCAGAACAGCCAGACTCTAAATATAGCCTCTTAAATAATGTAGGGGGGTGGAGAGCAGCTCTCAATAATTAAGTGGATTTGTTCTGGTCAGAAAAGAGGAACTTTTTATTGTGTGACGGCTAAAGTGGGGCAAGACGGCTGAGGTGTCGTCTTGCCAAGCAGGAGAGCAGAATCAAGAGGCTTCGATTACCATTCATTAAATTACCCATCAAAGACCATGTTAGCATTTAACGGGTTTATGAGGGCTTACAAGTATGTAAATATGTGATAATCAGTCTTCATTCAGACACAAAAGATCATACCTTTAAATAAATTAAGATCAATGTGCTTAAAAAACATATATATATGTGAAAAGGTGAGCAAATCATTTTACACTGAATTCAGCAAGGACCTTGAAAAAGCAAGAAAAGCAGATGATGCCGATAATTACTTTAAAAATAAAATATTTTATTTACTAAACTTATGTCTCAATGTATGATTTAAAATGTACACTCTTAAAAATAAAGGTGCTTAAAAGTTCTTCACAGCGATGCCATAGAAGAACCACTTTTCAGTCAAAGGTTCTTTAAAGAACAATCTCTTTCTTACCTTTTTATAACCTTCTTTCGCCACAAAGAAGCTTTTGTGAAACAGAAAGGTTCTTCAGATGTTAAAGGTTCTTTCTGGAACCATTTAGACAAAAAGGTTCTTCTGTGGCATCGTGAAGCACCTTTATTTTTAAGAGTGCAATGTAAATGCAACCAAGAAAATCTCATGCAAAGTCCAGAGAAGAGTGTTTGAATGTTATATTACTGTATTTGAATATACTTATATTCATATCATTTGATTATAGGCCTATTATATTCTTTAATATTTCATAATAATTATTAATATAATTGTATGCCATTAAAATGAGTGACTAGCGAAACCAAAAGACTAATGGTGCATTATGAAAACAAAATGACTAAGTTTAAAGAAAAGAAAAGCCTGTCCACGTTCTTGAGAAAGAGCTCTTTCAACAAGTGTGGCTGCATATCAACAGGTTGAAGGCTCTGTAAAGTAGAGCACTGCTGACTGAGCTGCATTTACTGCATGCTCACTATGAGAGATGAATTATGGCACAAGCCATGCAGCATTCCTGTTCAATCTGCGAGCATTCCAGATGTTTGAAGCTGCATGGACGTCTCCCATGTGTGCAGGGCTGCTACAGTAGCACCATCCGCTGCTTACCGCCCTGGACACGCACAGCAAAACACACACACACACAGGCTTCAGATATGAAACAACGGTTTGAATGTTATATTACTGTATTTGAATATACTTATATTCATATCATTTGATTATAGGCCTATTATATTCTTTAATATTTCATAATAATTATTAATATAATTGTATGCCATTAAAATGAGTGACTAGCGAAACCAAAAGACTAATGGTGCATTATGAAAACAAAATGACTAAGTTTAAAGAAAAGAAAAGCCTGTCCACGTTCTTGAGAAAGAGCTCTTTCAACAAGTGTGGCTGCATATCAACAGGTTGAAGGCTCTGTAAAGTAGAGCACTGCTGACTGAGCTGCATTTACTGCATGCTCACTATGAGAGATGAATTATGGCACAAGCCATGCAGCATTCCTGTTCAATCTGCGAGCATTCCAGATGTTTGAAGCTGCATGTTTGTCTCCCATGTGTGCAGGGCTGCTACAGTAGCACCATCCGCTGCTTACCGCCCTGGACACGCACAGCAAAACACACACACACACAGGCTTCAGATATGAAACAACGTGTCTTACCTTGCTCCGTATTTGCCCGGAGGTTGACACTTTCCTGATGAGTTTCTGCGGTCCTTCCTGCTCTCCCTCGCTGTCGGATGACTCGTCCACCACCGGCCCGGAGCCCCCGACAGCCCCCGAGGCGGACGCCGCTGGTTTCTCCGGCTCCTGCGGGGAAGAGGCACAGCGCTCGGGGTTATGAAGGCGCTCAGCCGCTCCCTTCCTCTCCGCCGGGATGCGGGAGCTGGACAGCGGCTGCAAAGCGCTTCTCTTGGCCGTCATGCTTTTGCGTTTTCCTGCGCAACCGGGCGTCTCCAGACATGCGCTCAGTGCGCTGTTGTCAGTGAGCTGCCGCGAAACTTTCCGAGCCGGCTAGCGTGCATGTTCGTGTCTGAACACGGCTGCTGGCTGGTTCTCCTGCTGCAGGAGGGCAGGAGGGCTGAGGAAATCACTGCAGCAAACCCTAGCGGCGGACGGGAGCCTCACAAACCGCGGCGAGGACACAGCAACAGATGTTTCTCCTGGAGCATTACTTACAGCCGACTGCAGACCACAGCCGGGCTCAGCCTCGGAGCCTAGCGAGAGCGGACAGATTATCAGACTGCATTTTGGACATTGTTGGCGCGTCCCGAAAAAAGTGCTGTCAGGGGCACAGAGCTACCACAATGACAATAAAACTGCTGCATGCAGGGGGGTCGCGTACCCCTTTTACAAAAATATGTGTGACCCTGGACCACAAACCCAGTCATAAGTAGAACGGGTACATTTGTAGCAACAGTCAAAATTATCGATTTTTTTTTTAATGCCAAAAATCATTAGGATAAGTAAAGATCATGTTCCATGAAGATATTTTGTAAATTTCCTACCGTAAATATATCAAAACTTAATTTTTGATTAGTAATATGCATTGCTAAGAACTTCATTTGGACAACTTTAAAGGCGATTTTCTCAATCATTTTTTTTGTATTATATATCTCAGCCAAATATTGTCCTGTCCTAACAAACCGTAACGCTACATCAATGCAAAGCGTATTTATTCATCTTAATCTCAATAAAAAAAACTGACCCTTATGACTGGTTTTAAGGTCCAGGGTCACATAAACAATTCGTTTGTCGCTAGGGTACAGGGTTTCTTGGCTCTACTAAATAAAGTTAGATTAACGTTAGGCCTACACTGACAACAGAACCCCCGTGCGCGTGAGACGGTAGCCATAGCAACAGGAGGTGTACTGACAGTACACCCATAATTACGGTCAGTATCTCTCTCTTTATTACACGTTTACATGTCGCTAGTATATCAACAAGAAAGTGTAGTATAAAACCAGACTGCTGAGGTTCAACTGGAGCCAAAATATGTTTTGGGTACGACGTTGCTTGCGCGAGACGGTCCTCTTCGGAGATTCAGGTTCAAGCTAATATTAGTTTAGCTCTTTCTGGTCATGTACGTTATATTATACATGTTTTCACAATAGCACACGTAAAAGCCATGTAACAGCCTAATTAAGTAGCTAACAGATTTGTGATAATCTGCATAATTGATGGTTTGTGGATTCAAAACAGTTGGCCTAAACACAACTCCTATATCTGTCCAAATATAATTCTCATTCACAGGTGTATGTTATAAACATGTCGCGACAGAGCCTGCCTGTTTTGATCGAAAACGCGCATCTAAACAGCACCAAACACATTTCCAAATCTAATGTACTTCCATTTCACCCTCGATATGAAACTGGGTCATTGCGGTCCGCACATTCCCTCTCATTCAGCTGCAACTTTAGACAGCTAAGAAAAGCTAACGGCGAAAGCCACCAAGAATGACTGTGGCTCAATTATGTTTCCAACCCAACTGGTCAATCGTGCAGCTGTTTAAAACAAATCACTGTACTCCCAAAAGCCTGGATTGCTAAAAATACAAATACAAATCGGTCAGTTGGATTCTACTTGGGCTGTATGTCTAAATCAGTCTCGTCCAAAAGTGCATCAGTCTGTAGAGGGACGCAAACTCGCGGTGATCGAGCAGCTCAACACAAGGAAGAACTGGACTCTTCTTCGCGGATCACAGAACGACCGAGACCAAGTGCTTACTAACATCACGCTAAAATCCCATAATCGGTGCCTATCAGCATGCATGTGCGGTTATAAAGCATCTCTCTGAAGATGTAGAAAGCGTGCAGTGCAGCAGTACTGACCAGCTCTTCCCAGGCAGGGCTGCGAGTGTATTGGCCATCATCTTCCATCTTCTCCTAGTCCCAGTGCACGCTTCAGCACAGCTCTCGTGTAATCGGGCATATGGTTTGAGTCTATCTCCACTCCTCCCTGCTCGACCAGGGTCTCTCTCCCACAGGCTGAGCCTCCTTCTCTGCACGTGATAAATGTCAAGTCCCTACAAGGATCCGAAGCGCTGTCCCTGACGTCAGGGAGCCTGCTTTTTACACATTACCCCATGTTTTAAAGACTCGGTGATAACAAGAACCAGCACTAGAAAAACACGCGTTTATGATTGTTTTAGAAAGACCTGTTCATTTGCACGCCGGCACATTACAAGCAACATACAAAGATTGCATGGATTCGTGTTCATTTATAACGTGATGCATTAGCTCATAAAGAGTTTCGAGTCCAGTGTTGGCAACTTAGCCATTTTGTTGCTAAATTTAGCAACTTTTCAGACTACCTTAGCCGCTTTTTCTTCCAAAAGCGCCTAGCAACAAATGTAGCTATGTTTTAACATTTATTTGGCAGCTTTTAGCAACTTTAGCTAAGTGGCTCAAACTATGAAAAGGCACAGTTGACCGTTTAAATCCCACAAAAAGAGCAAACCAAAGATGCCTAGCAGTACACACGGGACAGGAATTAAGTTAGCTGCTATTTGCAGTTGTTTAATAGTAATAATAATAATAATTGAATGCTGTTGTGTTTCATTCATGAGCCACTTTGTGAGTAGCTTGTGCCTGTGGTTGTTCAGGAGTTAGTACACTGTAAGAAAAACATGCAGAAAAGTGGAAAAGGTGCTAGTAACTTTCCAGGACGTTATCCGTTCCCGAAAACACAAAATACAACGCGTAATTAAAAATGCAGGTGGAAAAATCAATCCAGAAACTATTAACACAGTAGACTGTGCATTATTGTTTACTTTTCTTAGAGTGCAGCCTACTAACTAACTACTAATAAACCGCTTTAAAGTATAAAACTTACATCGTAATCGTTCAGAAATGTGTACGTTTTCGATAATTCAATGGATTTAAAAAGTCATTTATATTGTAATATTATATTATGCATTTATATTGTTACGAACAAATCTAAATGAACATATAGAATATATATATATGTGTTTTTGCTGAGATTTGACACACTTTTGCGTCGTGATTACGTAATGACGTCACAACATCATTTAGCAACTTTTAGCAACAAAACAGCCTTGAACCTTCCCCTGATTAGTTGGCAACACTGTTCGAGTCACTGACTTCATATATGAACATTGGGATAAAATCATTAAAGTCAGCTAGTACAACGAGACGACATTATTCGGCCTAAGACGCAGTTATTTTATTTTATTTCATTTCATCTTACTCCAAACTGTCTGCGTGCTTGTTGATGGTTAAGTTCAGTCAATTCACTTACAGCCGAACTACATCACGGGAATCCCCCTAACCTCAACAGAAGTTCATCTTTTTTTTTATTTTTATTGAACAGTATCAGTTTACACACTCAAATGGGGAACAATAAAATGCGTATGACCAAATATACACTTTACCAATCACATCTCCATCATACATAAATGTCCATGTCTCTACATACAATAACAGTAAACAAAACAAGCATTCTTTAAACATTTGAGGGGGTTCCAAGAACAAATAAAAAAATAAAGGGTACAAAATCTTACCAGTCTTAAAAGGAAAGAGACTCATACATGGTTATATACGATTATTATCTTTACTGTGCATTATTGTTTACTTTTCTTAGAGTGCAGCCTACTAACTAACTACTAATAAACCGCTTTAAAGTATAAAACTTACATCGTAATCGTTCAGAAATGTGTACGTTTTCGATAATTCAATGGATTTAAAAAGTCATTTATATTGTAATATTATATTATGCATTTATATTGTTACGAACAAATCTAAATGAACATATAGAATATATATATATGTGTTTTTGCTGAGATTTGACACACTTTTGCGTCGTGATTACGTAATGACGTCACAACATCATTTAGCAACTTTTAGCAACAAAACAGCCTTGAACCTTCCCCTGATTAGTTGGCAACACTGTTCGAGTCACTGACTTCATATATGAACATTGGGATAAAATCATTAAAGTCAGCTAGTACAACGAGACGACATTATTCGGCCTAAGACGCAGTTATTTTATTTCATTTCATCTTACTCCAAACTGTCTGCGTGCTTGTTGATGGTTAAGTTCAGTCAATTCACTTACAGCCGAACTACATCACGGGAATCCCCCTAACCTCAACAGAAGGTCATCTTTTTTTTTTTTTTTATTGAACAGTATCAGTTTACACACTCAAATGGGGAACAATAAAATGCGTATGACCAAATATACACTTTACCAATCACATCTCCATCATACATAAATGTCCATGTCTCTACATACAATAACAGTAAACAAAACAAGCATTCTTTAAACATTTGAGGGGGTTCCAAGAACAAATAAAAAAATAAAGGGTACAAAATCTTACCAGTCTTAAAAGGAAAGAGACTCATACATGGTTATATACGATTATTATCTTTGGACAAGTGTTTTAAAGATTCTAAGTATGTTTTACATTCATTTTTAAAGCAATTTAAAGAGGGTTTACTGTTATTCCTCTTACTTTTGTGTACATGATATTTACCCATTGTAATTATAATGTTTAACATCAATGACCTGTTTTTCGAAAGACTATCTGCACAACCAAAACCTGAAACAACTTCATGGAATAGCAGTGTTGATATCAATATTTAGCCAGCTGTAAAGATCCTGCCAGAACTTCAGTGTGACTGGACAAGAAAAAAAGAAATGTTCAATGGTTTCAGGCTCTTCTAAACAAAAAAACACAAGGATCTACTTCAAAACGGAATCTTTTCCGTAAAATTTCGGCAGCTGGATACGCATTATTAATAATCCTAAACTGAATATCCTTCCTTTTAGGTAGAATTGGCCTAATTACAGAATTTGTTTTAAATATGTCATTTTCGAATTGTTTTAAAACCGAAGTTATTCTTCGAGTTATTCCTGGAAATCATCGCTTCTGGGAAGATTTTGTAAGCGTGTAACTCTTAACAATCGGAACTCATGAAGCAGCAGCCCGTTCCACACGGAAGCCGTGCTAACTGGACGGGTTCTGTCCGACACCTAAATGCTTCCGTCTAGAGCTGCCCACTGCTGGCGTAAACACTCATTATGAAATAACAGTGGACGTGTTATAGTGTAGCCGGTGTATTTGTAATTTAACAGGCTTTACAGAGGGTTCAGGATGCATTCGCGTATGTTATTCAAAGGCACAGCTGCAGCTATTGCTGCGAGAAGGATTCGCCATATACTGGGGCCCGTTTTGTCCAAAGAAGGTTGGAAGTGCAGCGCACATGAGGTCAAACTCCTCAACACCTCGTCAGGTACTGATAAACACTGTTTATCATCTTCTGGGCTTTATAGATTGTTATTAAGCAGGTTTAGAGGTTAACCCGTCACTCAAAGTATTACACTATTCACTCACAGGTCAAACATAGCCCACCAAGTACTCTGTTTTCAGATGTGTTTACATGCGTCTTTAACGTTTCTATAAATATTGAGGTTTTAAAATAAATACCTGCTCTGTTGACAAGGATTGTTTGTAAGTGGATACTCCAGATATGATATACAGTGGGTACGGAAAGTATTCAGACCCCCTTAAATTTTTCACTCTTTGTTAT